GCCCCCTGCCCCCCCCCCCAAGTCTCAACACCCACACTCCACCTGGCCCCCACAAGTCCCAATGCTGCCTGGCTGCAGAACACCCAACGCTGCCTGGCAAATACCAGCCATGGGCAGCCAAAGAGAATCTACTGTGACCCAGGAGAGTTTTGTAGGTCTTTCGATTATATTGATCGAAAACGACCTGTGTAAAGAAACGGACTTTACTGACATAATTGAAGAATGTGCTGCCAGAAGAGCTAGACAGCTATAGTAGACTTAAATACAAATTAAAATGTTTAATTATGAATGCAGAATTGTGTTTGAGAATGAATTACACTATAATAAAAATAAAAATTATCCAACTAAATTAAGTTTCTATCAAATTTACCCAATTCACATTTAATATGAAAAATAGCTTCAATTTGCACATTTGACACCTTTTTTCTATTTTCTCTCCAAAGGGGGGCCCCGCAAAATTGTGCTGCCCTGGGCCCCTCAAAACTCTCATCCGCCCCTGCGTGCGCACACACACATACAACCCTGAAAACCTGCATACACTGTGCACACTGAAAAACTGTGCTCTGATGCACACATGTTGCATGCCCACAGCTCCTTACCAGGGAAAGGTATCCCTCTTTTTCTATTTGTGCTGTGTCTCCTCCTCAGCCTCGCTGTTCTGGGGCCACAGCACCACCAACACTGGAAATGCATTTACACAGAAGTCGAGGAAATGAGCACTGAACGATCCCAACAGGAGATGTCTGCCCAGCCAATGACTTGGCTTCAGATTGTCAGTTTCCTGGTGACCCAGTGGCCATCTGTCTGAGGGATTGCAATCTGGAAGGGCTAGAGACACGTCTGAGCCAGGACCCCTGAGTTCAGTTCTTGCTTTACTCCACCCCTGCCTGCTGGGTGAGCAGAGGCAAGTCACAGCCCTGCTCTGTTCCTCAGTTTCCTTACCTCAGTCACAAGTAGGGATGGTGGGAAGGGGGTGTGATATTATCAGATTAAACTGTGACCATGCAACAACTGTTAAATGTTTGCACCAAATCTTGTACAAAGTGGGACAAGTGAGAGGTCTATGAAAAGCTTTGATTTGCTGATTCTGTTGATAGGCATGAGTAGTACATATGTCACCTTTGTATCTGAAGTTATGAGTGTTGGCTGTGTACTTTTATTTCAAATGTGCACTTTTGGGAGACATCAGCAGGAGGCTGGGCCAGTCTATTGTGAAAGGGCTACTACTCAAGTGAATAATAGTATTGATTGACAATGGGCCTTGCCAATCCACATCTGATGAGCTTTGCTGTGAACGTTCAGACCAGCATAGGGGCAATGACATCCACCTGTAAAGAGCTGAGTCATGCATGGACAGGTGACCTGCTCATGTGACAAACTACCTGCACCAAGAGCTTTTGCAACTGGTGTATGTATTTGATTCCTTTAACAATTTTATCTTTCTTTCTTTCTTTCTTTCTTTCTTTCTTTCTTTCTTTCTTTCTTTCTTTCTTTCTTTCTTTCTTTCTTTCTTTCTTTCTTTCTTTCTTTGATTAAGAATGGGCACTGTGTGCTTTTTGGGTAAGATCTGAGTAATAAATTGAGCTGGAATTTCAGAGAGATAACTGTGTTAGTCTGTTTTAGAAAAAAACTTGAAAAACAACTAATAGTCCTGCAGCACCTTAGAGACTAACAAAAAGTAAATGGTATCATGAGCTTTTGTGGGTACAACCCACTTCGTCAGATGAATGGAGTTTAAGGGGTCCAAGTTCCAAATAAATAGCAGAAAAAACCCGGCTGTTTTTCTGAAAAACTACACTTCCGTCCACACTGCACTTGAGTTCTTTCGAAAGAATGTCGAAAGAACACAGCGGTTTTTCCGACAGCGGTAAACCTCCTTCTATGAGGAAGGAGCCTTTTCCCAAAAGAGCTCTTTTGGAAAAAGGCATGTGTGGATGGGAAAGAGGGTTGGGGTTTTTTTCGAAAGAAGAGACCTCCAAAAGCACAGGTGCCCTGATGGCCACTCCGTCCACAACAATCAGAACTTACACGCGAGATAGCGTCCCATGAATCTTTCGAAAAAGCACATCATTTTTCGTTGTGCTTGTGCTGTGTAGAGGCTCTCTTTTGAAAGATTTTTTTCCGGAAGATCTCTTCCGGAAAAGCTTCTTCCAAAAGAAGCCTGCAATCTAGACATAGCCAGAGAGAAGGAGTGGGCAGGAGAGGGAAAGGAAATTGGGAAAAGAGTAGTCACTTAGAATTTCCATGATAAATGAAGCTGATAGAGAGGGTTCTAAGTGCTCTTAAGTACCTGGTGTTTAGCCTTTTATGTAATTAGGTTGAGGAATGTAGTGGGTAATCCAGTTACCGTCTTTGTCCAAAACTCTACTGTAGGTATCAAACTTGTAAATGAAATTAAGCTTCCCTTTCAAGCTGGTTTTTTAAATTGGCTTGTAATAGTATGGAAACTTTGAGAGTTAAAGTTAAACTCTGGGCAAGTTAAAATGTTCCCTGACAGGTTTCTCTGTGTTACCTTTTCGGGTATCTGATGTGTTGGGTGTCTCAAAGGGGAGCCAGACTGAGTGACACTGAAGCACATTTCTTTGCCCAGCTTTATAGAAGGGGGATTTTCGGTACAGAAGTGGAATAGCACACTGCAACTAGGGGAGCCCGTGAGGCCCCCAGACAGGTCCTGAGCCAGGTTGCTGCGGCCTATTCCCTGGGCAGCCTGAGGGTCTGGTCCTGGGGCCTGGTGAGATGAGTCTTGAACTGGGTTGTTACCTGGATCACAGCCCATGGCTGGGAGTTCTCACTGCGAAAGCCAAGAGAGAAAACAGGGGGATTGATCCTAGAATGTCCAGGAAGCACCCATTTCCCTCTAGTCTTCCCCACCCCGGCACAGTGAGCTCCAGAGAGCCTACCCAGGGCACAACCATGGCCAAGAAAGCCAACTCCCCCGGAACTGCCCAACCATTGTCCCCAGCCTCAGGCAGCATTGGATGAATCTCGGCTGCCAATTAGAAAGAAAAAGAAGCTCCTGGTCTGGGGTCTGGGAAGGAAGGCTGGAAACCGTGGCCCCGAACAGCTCAGGGGAAGAGCCAGAACCAGCTGATCAGCAGGAGACATCTCGTACTGTTTAAGCCAATCTCGTGACTTTGGGGCCTGGACTTCCCTGGCATTTGGGGGAAATCCCTGATGGAAGGTCTAACATCTAGGGTGGAGGGAGCACAAGCACATTGGCTTGGTGGCCCACACTTTTCCCGTTCCAACAGTCCCATTGGCAGAGTGCCCCTAGGGGAGGGGGAGTGGCGCAGAGCCTGCGGGAAGGGTCTCACCTTGAAGCCATGCCATGTTTGGATTTCCCAGAAGAGTCTGTTCCCTGGGCATGCAGTGTGCCCCATCTGCCGGTGCCCGTGGACTGTGTAGTTTGCTTGGATCTTGGAACCCTTCACCGCACACTGCAGGAAGTTATTACGCACCAGCGAGAGGGCAAAGGCTTCTGGGAGAGTGTCCATATAGTCCCCAATGAAACTCACGCCATAGCCTTTACTGTTGTAGCCCCGGGTGTGAGCGCCAACCCAGTGCCAACCCCGGCCCTGGTACATGTAGCCGTCTGATCCGACCACGAAGCTGCAGCAGAGCAAAAGCAGAGAGGAATCTAAGGAGAGACAGATCCTGTTTCCCTTGCAGTTTGGATCTGGGCTTTCAGCCCAGTTGAGAGTCATGGGTTGCCAAATGGGGGTGCCAGCCCAACCCCGGGAAGATGGATGGGGTTCCTTATGTCCTCATGGGTGTCCACAGTGTGGGAGGAAAGCAGCTTTAATTTGCGGCCAGGCCTCTACAGGTTTGCACTGATTCATTTTACCACTGTGCCCACTCCTGGCCCTTTTGGGGTGGCACTGGCCTTCTGCCCTGTGTGTCACCTACTTCACTCCCTTCAGCAGGGCTCTCTCAGCACCTGCGCCAGCCTGGCTCTTTGGGGTGGTGCCCATGAGACCCAAGCAGGCCTGGCTGTCCTCATGAGCTTGACATAACCTCTGTCATGAATTGACCTGGGAATGTAGCTGGGCCTTTGGGATCAGAAGAATCTCCTTTGCTTTGATGAGATTGATTTGCATAACCTCTCACCTGTATAGGGAGTGGTACTGGTTGTGGCCCGGAGACGCTGGAGTGTCTGAGGGGATTGCTTGTATGACTTCTTGCTTGCAAGTGTGAACAATAGTGCTCTTTGTCACTGGTTTGGTGCCTTATAATGGAGGCCCTCCAGACTTGGGCTATAAGTAGCCCTGTCTCTAAGCAATTCACCTGATTTGACCCTCTCAGCAAGTGCCCCCAGAAACCTGCTGGATTACACCTTACACCTTAGTGTGTGGTTGTATTAAAATGAATTTTCTGTGAATGGAACCAAGAAAACTAGCTTGCCCTCTCTGGGTGCTCTGGCCTCAGTATTCTTTCCCACCCTGCTAATCATGTAGCATCCTGGGTCTTTCCAAACACAACACAGAAATACTTATTTAATGCTTCTGCCTCATCTGCATCACTATTTATTTCTGGCATCTATTTCTGTTTTTGTTTGTTATATGTTGCTTTTTTTATTTTTAAGTGTTGCTAGGTGGGGCTTTTAGCCACAGTTGTCCTCTGTCATGGTGTTTTGGCCACCTAATCAATACTTCTTAAAGAATTCCCAATTTTCATTCACATTTTTTTCTGTCCAAATATTCCCTCCCCATCAATTTGGTTCCTCTTCTTCTTCAGCTTGGGTAAGCTAGTCCTGTGGAAGCATGAAGACTGTATATCACAGTAGGGGTCAGAGTCCTGCCTCAGGGTGTGTTCTGAACTCTCAGGTGGGGGCTGTGTTTGTGCCATAGGAGGCTAGTGGCCTTTATGAAGCAGCGGGTGGCTCCTAGGTGGGGCTAGGCATCCAGACTAGAGGAAAGAATTCTCAGAACCAGGGGTGGGATAGGAAGGGAGCAGTGAGATGGGGAGGTTTGGCACCTACTGGCCTTGTGAGGGTGGAATGAAAATGGCTCATCTATGTGTCATAGCCTTTATTCCTGTAGCAGGCAAAGGAGAGTTGCCTTTATATCAAGGAGTCAGAGCCTGCTCTTCTCTGGCTGAGACCCCAAGATCACAGTGTGCATTGTAGCCCAGACTCTGAGCTAGCCCAGGATCTGCTGCAGTACTGGGCGGGAGCCTGCAGAAGAGCCAGGACACAGCAGACAGTGTACACTGGGCATCAGGGACACAAGGTCCCTCCCCCCAGGCTTTCTCATGGAATGTCCAGTCCCAAATCATTTGATGGGCACTAGCTGAGACCAGTGCATTCTGGGAAGGCCAGGCCTCCTGCTCACCTGTAGCCAATGTCATCCCATCTGCGGTCTTCCTGGTGGAAGCGCTGCATGGCCCTCATGTCAGCAGCACACTCAGGGAAGGTTCGGCAGGGCTGGCTGGGGGAGCTGGTGTGGTGGATGTACACGAAGCTTAGGGGCAGCTTGAGCTGTGTGGGGGTCCCTCTGTAGGGCCTGGCCCCCCACATGCAGCGAGGGATGATGGCCGGGCATTCTGGAGGCAAATGCACACAGCAGGGTGAGACACAGACCCCCCACATCTAGTGCCTCATGCTGCCAGCACATGGCCTGACAATGCAGTCTGTGCCAGAGTGAGGGGAATGGCTGAGTCTTCCTCAGGTTGGGCTGGGAGCTCTGGATCTGACCACAGTTCCCTACAAGTGCCTCAGTTTCCCCATAATGCAGTTGTGTAATGTTGCCCCTGCCTTCCTCAGGATATTGTGGGGAACATGCTGCTGGGAGGGCAGGCCTAGCAGGGCTGCATGGAACATATGCCAACCTAAATGAGAAACCTTCAGTCCCTTCCAGCCCTTTGGGGTTTTTTCCTCCACAAGTTTTCAACAAAATGCTTTGACACAACTATTTATTGGAAGGTTTCCCTTCCCGCTCTGGAGAAGCACACAAGGGGGAAAGTCACCCCCAAAGGGCTCTGGTTCTAACCATTTGATTGGAAAATTGCATACAAGCGGAATTTCCCTTTGAAGATTTACAGAATTAAAGAAATAATCTCTCCCCCTCAGGATGAAATCCATTGAAAAAGTTCACCAGAAATTCCTGCCCCAGCATGCCAGTCGCCTTGCACAGGGAGGAGTGCTAAAGTGCCACAGCCAGCCCCACACTGCTGTCAGCACGTGTGCCCCACCTGGCAACGGCAGCACCATGGTGCCCAGCCAGACTCAGGTGAGCCCACCTGAGGCTTGCTGAGGACCTGGGAGCCACGGGCCCTGTGGGGGATGATCCAAGCCAAGAACACAGTTGTTAACTGCTTGGGCTTGTTTGTACGGATGCTGGTTCAATACCCCTCCGCCGCGTGCATATGTGGGAAGCCTTAGAGCAGAACCATCTCCTTGCAATGGACAGAACTGGAGCTGAATTATCTCCCCACAACGGACAGAACTGGAGCCGAGCCCCAGAGCTGAACCATCTCTCTGCAATGGACAGAACCGGAGCCGAGCCCCAGAGCTGAACCATCTCTCTGCAACGGACAGAACCGGAGCCGAGCCCCAGAGCTGAACCATCTCTCTGCAACGGACAGAACCGGAGCCGAGCCCCAGAGCTGAACCATCTCTCTGCAACGGACAGAACCGGAGCCGAGCCCCAGAGCTGAACCATCTCTCTGCAACGGACAGAACCGGAGCCGAGCCCCAGAGCTGAACCATCTCCCTGCAACGGACAGAACCTGAGCTGAGCCCTAGAGCTGAACCGTCTCCCCACAATGGACAGAACCGGAGCCGAGCCCCAGAGCTGAACCATCTCTCTGCAATGGACAGAACCAGAGGTGAGCCCCAACCCGGCCCCAGAATCTGGATCTGATGGGGAACTCCCCACATCCTGGGTGCTGGGATTCAGCAGGTGGGACTCAAAGTGCCACGTGGGCCAGGGGTTGGTATTTGCTTCAGGCTCATCTCTGCCACCATTTAGCCCCGTTAGCATAGCAAAGCCCTGGCTAATGAGGGGAGAAGAATAAGCACCTACCCAGGTAGGCCTCTGTGAACTTCTGCACTGCCCAGCTCGCAGTGGCTTGCAGCTCTTCGTCCCCAGCCCAGCTGAGCAGGGGCTCGGTCTGGGCCAGCGCCCGGAGCAGCTGAAGGGAGCGCAACACCTGTTCCTCCAGTTGCCCAGCCTCAGTGAGCTGCACAAAGTTCTGGCGCCTGAAGTTGCTCCTGACCTGACGCTCCCCGGCCAGGCCACCCCCGGAGTAGTACTCTCTCAGCAGGGGGCCCAGGGGGACCCTGGCCATGCCTTGCCCCACCAGGTGTGTCCCCAGGATCACACCGTCCAGCGCCCCATTGATGAAGGCGTCAGTGAGGGGTGAGGGGTGGCCCAGCAGGGTGAAGTTTTGAGGCTCGTACACACTGTCCCAGCAGCCATTTGGCCCCATGGGCACCTGGCTCTCATTGGCCTGGGCCAGCAGAAAGGCCATGCCCAGGGCCTTGGTGATGGTCACTGCATAGAGGGCATCTATAGTCAGGGGCAGGCCTGGACGGGTCTGGTTTGAGGGCTCAGTCGTAACTAGTGACGGCTCCACAGCCTCAAGGGGCAGTGGCATCTCCCGCCTGCCCTTCAGCCCTGCTTCGATCCCAGCCAGCAAGGGGCTCACCGCCACCGTGGTGCCATCAGGGAGCAGCACCACCCCCTGCTCCACCAAGGAGGCCTGGACTTCGTGCTTCAGGAGGTGCTTGAAGAAGGACCTCTGCTCCTGGCTCAGGAAGGGCAGGTCTGGAGGCTCGGTGGGCGCCTCCCCCAGCAGGAGCCGGTCGAATTCGCTGTTACAGCAGCCCAAGCCCCGGGCCAGCTCTGTCACGCTCAGGTTGAGGTGCCCGTCCAGATGCTGAGATTCCAGCACTTCCACCACTTGGATCACAGAGTCCATGTGAAACAGGAGGGAGCCTGGAGGGGAGGAGCAGGGAAGCCCGTCAGATCCCTGCCTGGCAGCGGAACCCTGCACAGCTCATGGGAAGGTCTCTTGGGGGACACGGGGACACATGCTCTTGGGGAATTTGGGCTAGTCTGACAGGCACCTGGAGCGAGGGACAGGATCACCCAGACTAGCTGGTGCTGCCGGTGAGGAGGCTATGGCAGCTTCACTGAGGGCTTGTCCACATGGCGCTATGATCTGGACTGTGCGGTGTGAACGGTTCCACCATGTGCTCCAGCTGCCCCCTGGGCCTCTTTTGCCATGCCCCAGGAACCCAGCTCAGAGTCAGAGAGCTGCATTAAAGTGCACTCTTGGTCATGCCAGCAGCATTTGCATGGGGCAATCAGAACTCCCTCTCCCCAGAGTCTGGCCTGCAGCACCATGTAAACAAGCCCTGGGCAGCCTAAGGCGCCTCCAAACCTGCAGAGACTGTGGGGATCCCACCATCCAACTCTCCCCCAGGCAGCTGCTGGCTGCAGCCAGAGCATCTCTGAGTTTATAGACGGCCTCCAAAAGCAAATGAAACCATCCCTGAGGCTATGGCTAGATTACAGGCTTCTTGCGCAAGAGGCTTTTTTCGGAAGAGATCTTCCACAAAAGCTTCTTGTGCAAGAGAGCGTCCACACTGCAGAAGCGCATCGGAAAAGCCACGTGCTTTTGCATAAGAGAGCATCCAGACTCCTAGGACGCTCTCTCGCATAAAAGGCCGCCCGGAACCACTTCAGGCAGGGCTTTAGGTCACCAGTTGCATCCGAGGGCTGGTGCTGGAGCTTAGCAGAGACATGCGCTTAAAGGGACCACCCTGGACAGATGTTTATCTGCTGCTGCTGCTGCCTTTGAGGGACAACGAAGCTTCAGCAGTGCCTGCTGTGGCTGCCCTGTGCTTTTTGGGGATGCCACAGCTTTGTTCTGAGTGTGCCATGGAGCCAGTGCTGCCCCAGGGTAGGCGATGGCCCTAAACAGTCATGCTGCAGTTTTTGCAACATTTGCTGCCTTCCTGTTCCTGGGGGACCTGGACTTGGACCCCAAGCTCCTTCTGGGGACCCTCTCAGTGGCTGCGGCTGTTCCACTCTGGCAACCACACCCCCACTATACAAAGAAGGTTCTGGAGGCTGGAGACCAGCTCAGACTGGTGGAACCAGCTGGTCCTGGAGCAGTGGGATGACCGGCAGTGGGTGCAGGACTTTAGTGTGCGCAAGGCCACCTTCATAGAGCTCTGTGCTTGGCTGGCACCCGCCCTCCGGAGATGCGACACCCGCCTGTGGCCCGCCATGCCCCTGCAGAAGCGGGTTGCTATCGCCCTGTGGCAGTCACCACCCCAGACAGCTACTGCTCAGTGGGCAATCAGTTTGGGGTAGGGAAGTCCACCATCAGGGCCCTCCTTATGGAGGTAAGGAGCTCTCGGGCTGCAGTCCCTGCAGGGGAGGAGGGGAAAGTGTTGGATAAAGGGGACCCTCGGGAGAGTGGGGTTGGGGACTGTAGGAGGTGGCTCCGGGAGGATTTTGGGTGGGTGCCATAGGAGGGAAGGCGAACGGGCACCTCCCATAGGCTCAGTCACCCCGTCTCATTCTCTGTTTTGTGTGTTTGTGTGTCTCCTTCTGCAGGTGGTGAGGGCCATCAACTCCCTGCTGCTGTGGAGAATCGTCTGTCTCAAGGACCTGGCGCAACTGAGGCTGGATTTGGTGCCCTGGGGTTTCCCAACTGCAGAGGAGCCATCGACGGGACGCACATCCCGATCAGAGCACCAGACCATGAAGCGACCCAGTTTATAAATAGGAAGGGTGACTTTTCTGTTGTCCTGCAGGCCCTGGTGGACCACTGGGGCCAATTCATGGACATTTTTGTGGGGTGGTTGGACAGGGCACATGATGCCTGAGTCTTTAGGAACTCCAGCCTATGCCCCAAGCTGCAGGCGGGCACCTTTTTCCCATGCCGGGAATTTGTGGTGGGCGACGTGAACATTCCACTGTGCATAGAGGGGACGTGGCATACCCATTAATGCCCTGGCTGATGAAGCCGTATACCAGCCACCCCGACCCCCAGGAGGATACAATGCCCACCTCAGCTGAGCCTGGATGCAGGTGAGGGCCATGCGTTTGAGCATTTGAGCAGCCCCAGACAGCTGCCACCTGCCAGGCCTATCACTTGGGGGTGCACATCTGGGAGGCCCTGAGGGAGAGGTTCTCTCAAGCACCCCAGTAACTCTCCCCATGGCCTCCCCAACAGGGGCCTCTGCCTTGTTGCTCTCTCCCTTCCCCCTCTCAAGCCCTCCCCTTGCCCCTTCCCTGACCTCCCAATAAACACACCTGTTTGCTTTCAGAACAAAAGGAGTCTTTTTTATTGACTCTGAACTAGGAGGGGGGTCAGGATTGGGAGGAGGAGAAGGGGGGCGGCTTGAGGCACCCCCTCAGGTGCGGGGGCCTCGTCAAGGGTGTGTTGGTCTGGGGGCCACAAAGGTTTGAGCAGCCCCAGACAGCTGCCACCTGCCAGGCCTATCACTAGGGATTCCGAATTCGGGAGGCCCTGAGGGAGGGTATGTCTACACTACAGCGCTAATTCGAACTAACTTAGTTCGAATTTGTTAATTCGAACTAAGCTAATTCGAACTAATGGATCCAGACTAAAAA